AGGGACTGGCCGGTACTGGGAGCACTGGGACCCACTGGGAGAGGGGATGGGGGCACTGGGAGGGACTGGGAGAGGGGATGGGGGCACTGGGAGGGACTGGAGAATGCTGGGAGAGGAGATGGGAGCACTGAGAGAGGGCACTGGGAGGGACTGGGAGAGGGGATGAGGACACTGGGAGGGACTGGCGGGCACCGGGAGGGAGCACTGGGAGGGACTGGGAGAGGGGATGGGGGCACTGGAGGGCACTGGGAGGGACTGGGAGAGCCTGGCCTAGCCTGTACTGGTCCATACTGGTCTGTACTGGTCCATACTGGTGTCCCCCCACGCAGGAGGTGGCGGATCTCCCGGACTATCCCAAGCTGCGTTTGTGTGGGGTTTTATTGGTTTATACGGGTTTGTGCTGGTCTGTACTGGTTTATAGGAGTCTGTACTGATCTGTACTGGTCCATATTGGTTTTTACTGGTGTCCCCCACCCAGGAGCTGGCGGATCTCCCGGACTATCCCAAGCTGCGTTTACATGAATTTGTACTGGTTTATACTGGTCCATACTGGTTCATATGGGTCTATATTGGTCCATACTGGTCCGTACTGGTCCATACTGGTTTTTACTGGTGTCCCCCCCCCAGGAGCTGGCGGATCTCCCGGACTATCCCAAGCTGCGTTTCCGGCCTCGGGCTCCGGCGCCGCTGGAGCTGCTGGTCCCGGGGGCTGAGCCCCCCGCCCTCGACCTGCTGGGGGGGCTGCTCAGCTACCCCGCCCGGCTCCGCCCGCGGGCACACCAGGTCTGACCCCCCCGGGGGGCTTTGGGGGTCCTGGGGAGTCCCAGGGGGGATTTGGGGGGTCCACGGAGGGGTTTGGGGGTCCCTGGGTACCCCCTGATGGAGCCTCTGGAGCCCCAGGATCGGCCCCATTGCGGTTCCTGCTCAGGTACCAGGTGAGGCTCTGCCCCCCACCCACCAGGTGAGACCCCCGGGGATTTTGGGGGGGTCCTGGGAGGCCCCAGGGGGGATTTGGGGGGGCCCTGGGGGGTTTGGGGGGTCCCAGGGGGGGTTTGGGGGGTCCTTGAGGGGGTTTGGGGGTTCCAGGATCGGCCTCGTTGCGGCTCTTGCTCAGGTACCAGGTGAGGCTCCGCCCCCTACCCACCAGGTGAGACCCCTGGGGGGGTTTGAGGGGTCTTGGGGGGGTCCCGGGTGGGTTTTGGGGGGGCCCCAGGGGGCTTGGGGGGTCCTGGGGGGATTTGGGGAGTCTTCGGGGAGTTTGGGGGTCTGAGGATGGGCCCCACTGTGGTCCTTGCTCAGGTACCAGGTGAGACTCCACCCCCCACCCACCAGGTGAGACCCCCCGGGGGGCTTGGGGGTCTAGGAGGTTCCAAGGGGGATTTGGGGGGTCCTCGGGGGGATTTAGGGGGCCCTTGGGGGGGGTTGGAGGGTCCTCAGAGAGGTTTGGGGGTCCCAGGATGGGCCCCACTGCGGCTCTTGCTCAGGTACCAGGTGAGGCTCTGCCCCCCCCCCACCAGGTGAGACCCCCCCGGAGGGCTTCGGGGTCCTGGGGGCGTCCCGGGTGGGTTTAGGGGGGCCCCAGGGTAGTTTGAGGGGTCTCCGGGAGGTTTGGGGGAGTCCCCGATGTCTTTGGGGGGGTCTCGGGTGTTTTTGGGGGGTCCCAGGTGTGTTTGGGGGGGGGTTTCTTAAGAATTGGGGGCCCCAAGACCCCTGGGGGGGGCACTCGGGTATCCCCCCCCTTCCCCATTGATTGGGGGGGGTCCTGAGCCCCCCCTGAGCCGCTCCCCTCCCCCCAGGCCCTGCTGCACCCCTTCTTCTTCGGCCCCCACGAACTGACCCCCCCCCCGCCCCCGGGGGGGCCCCGCAACACCCCCGACTTCAGCCTGGACACCCCCCTGGAGCTGCCCCCCCCGGGGGCCCCCGGGGCCCCCCCCCCAACGGGGGCCCCCCCAGGGACCCCCCCAATCAGGGAGACCCCCACTGACCCCCCCGGGGGGCCCTGGGACCCCTCCCCATGTGGGGCACCCCCACTGACCCCCTGGGGGGCTCTGGAACCCCCTCCCAAACTGGGGGACCCCCACTGACCCCCCCGGGGGGCCCTGGGACCCCCACCCAACTTGGGAGACCCCCAGTGACCCCCCCCCAGCCACAGAGACCCCCACTGACCCCCCGGAGGGCTCTGGGACCCCCACCCTAATCTAGGGGACCCCCAGTGACCCCCCCAATGAGGGAGACCCCTACTGACCCCCCCAGGGGGACCCCCAGTGATCCCTCCAATCAGGGAGACCCCCACTGACCCCCCTGGGGGGCTCTGGGACCCCCAGCCAACCTGGGGCACCCCCAGGGACCCCCCGGGGGGCTCTGAGACCCCTCCCCAATTGGGGCACCTCCAGGGACCCCCCCAATCAGGGAGACCCCCACTGACCCCCTTGGGGGGCCCTGGGACCCCTCCCCATGTAGGGAACCCCCAGGGACCCCCCAATCAGGGAGAACCCACTGACCCCCCTGGGGGGCTCTGGGACCCCTCTCCACTTGGGGGACCCCCAGTGACCCTCCCAGCCAGGGAGACCCCCACTGACACCCTTGGGGGGCTTTGGGACCCCTCCCTGTGTGGGGGACCCCCAATGACCCCCCCAATCAGGGAGACCCCCACCCCAACCTAGGGGACCCCCACTGACCCACCCCTGGGGGGCTCTGAGACCCCCACCCAAAGTGGGGAACCCCCAGGGACCCCCCCAGCCAGGGAGACCCCCATTGACCCCCCCCCCCAAGGAGTCTTGGGACCCTTCCCCAATTGGGGC